GCGTAGTAATTTCTCCATAATTCTTATCATTTAAGGAGTTTTCTTCCCTATTTTGGTGACAAGAGAGATTATTTTTTCTGAAATGGCATCTCAGTTTTACTGAAGCTCTCTGAAAGACCTGATGCGCATGTGGATAGAAGCAATCTGATTAACTCAAATAAATATTCATTGTAATACAGACCTAATTAAAACAGTTTAGTTGAAGTTTTGAAAACTTTTCAACATGATCTTTTGTCAAAGGCTTTTTAAGAATATTAGTCTTGACGAAGTGAGAGATGGTTCTCTTATAGGCCTTTTGCTTTATGTTATTTAATATTAGGAATAACCAGCCATTTTTCAAAGTGTGAGGTGTTTGCTGGTGAGTTCCCCTATGGATCTGCACTGAACCTTCGTAGTTCAATATTAATGATTTAGACTAAGAAGGTATAGCAATATAATTTTTCTTCTCATATAAGATCATTTAGTGTGGTTGTATATAAATCTGACTGCAAGGAGGTGCAGAAGAATCACAAAATACCAAGCTATTAAGCTATTAAATGTTTTATGAAATTCAATATCAGTTAGATACCAAATGATTCTAATTATTCATTCTTGCTGGTGGGCTCCAAATTAATGGTTTCCGTGCAGGAAAGAGAGGCTAGAGTAATTATGGATAGTTCTCTGGAAGCATGCTTCATAATCAAAGATGCGAAGAATTACTGAAAAAATGGTCTACAATACAAATAGATCATGAACTTCCATCTTGAATTCTTCAAAAATTATCCTCTGTCTACCTCAGAAGGATATATTAGGGAGAAAGATGCCAAAAAGTCAAAAAAGGATCAAAAATTCTACGAGATGCTGCCATACAAAACCAGTTTAAGTAGAACAGGACTCTTTATTTTGTAAAAGGTATACAGTAGGGAGTAATATGTAAGTATACAAATCTGTAAAGATCAAAAAGAAGTAGTCCTTTCCCTCCATTTCTCAGTATGTCACATGGCAATAAAAATCAGTAAAATGGCCATCAAATGTAAAGCAAAGAAAAAATTATAATTTCCACTATTCCAAAACACAAAGCTTTTATTCCCAGAAAATAATAAAAAAGCCAAAAGTATAGACAACTTCCAGAAGTGATCAGAAGAACATATGTATCTAAATTCATTTTTTTTTCAGTTAAGTCCTGGCTTATGGAGTTCCTAAATTAATGATTGCTGAATAATGTTTTCCAATACCAGGGAAAGTAACACTTTATATTTTCATATGTGAATCTCCAGATTTATACCTTAATATATGAATCATGCAGTCTGGGCTGTATAGATTTTAAAATATAAGGCATCTCCCATGTCAGTTTCATTCCGAGCATCTTGAGGCCATGACAATTTTTACACATAGATTACATAATTGCATCCAAATTTGAAACAGAGCAAAGTATTTCCTGTATTTGCAGGAATGGGTGTAGTCTGCACTGTGGAAACTGAGTAAGAGAAGCACCTTGCCATAGGTTTGATGTAATGGAAAAAAAGGTATTTTGCAACTGGAGCAAATATTTTACAAGAATTCTTAATTTTGTGTTTTATTCCATATCTGAATAAATACCAAGTCTTCTCTATTTTTGTTGAATGAGAACTGATATGCAGAATTCCTTATCCAAAAGCAGAGCACTCAGACAAAATATATAATTATGCATTCTTAACCAAAATTAATTATGATTGAATCGGTAGATAAAAATCTTGTCTATGTAGGAATTTTACTTGAAAAAGTAATGGCTAAAAATGATTATCTGAGTTCTCTTATTAGTACCCATCCTGTTTCTTTAAAACTATTGCCAGATTGAAAACTCCGAAAGGCATTATGCCCCAGCACTTGTTCTAGGAATAATAAAACTATCCAGAAAGTGGCAAATCCACTTAAGGAGATACTTATTGTTAGTAGTAGATATGAATCATTCTGGGCAGATTTGTTCAAACTGCCTAGCTGTCTAGAAGATTTAGATTGTGCACTTTTTGAAAAAGAACAATGTCAAATTAGATTTTGTCTCTCTAAGTTTCAATTGTTACAAAACAAGGCTCTAAGTCTTTTGAATTATACTTCCAACAAGTACTGCATCGAATTCGCTAATCTCTAAACCATCTGCCTGTTCTTCACTGCAGCCACATCAGAAGATTGTGATCGCATGCTGTCCATGAGAATCTACAAAATCCAATCCCTAAAGAACTAGAGATGTGTTTGAAATTCCAATGCACATTTATAATTTTCTGAGAAATATCAGCATCACTAATTTATAAAAGCAAAGCACTTCCATCTGCAGTATATCCTGGGTAATAAGTTTATACATACAGGACCAACTGCTTATGGTTTGCTGATGAGGAAGTAATTTGACAAATCCCTTACATGGTCCTTATGAATCAGACTGGGTAAATTCTGGCAAAACCAGCACATAGCAGTGGCTTTAAGTCAAAACCAGTTAAGTTTCTTTGCCTTGGAGATGTCAAAAAGTTATAATATTTTGTGCTGAATAAGAATTAAGATGAAAAGGCAGTGACAGATGACTTAGAGGGGGAACGCCTGTCAGCTTGAAGGGAAATTTTTGTAGTAAACATGGAGTAAAGCCTACCTTATAGTGAAATGTTAGAACTAGGAGAATCTCTTGGACTCAAGAAGATAGGCATAGGAGGAGGCAGCTGGGGCAAAGTAAGAATAATACCATTTTTAATCACAATAGATTTATTATTTCAAAACTATATTCTGGATAATTTAAAGACTGATAGCTTGTTTAAAGATCCAGTAATAGACTTAAATATGGTTCCACTGTATTATTGGAACTTTTTGTTTTCAAAAAAATAAAAAAAAAAGAGTAGTTGAATTACCTAAACTTCCCAGACTGCAAAAGTTATAATGGGTGGTATTTGTCTGCATAAGAGTTTCCATATTTGTATAAAAATATAGTTTGTGTTATCCTTCATTAAATACTCTACTTTAGCATGCCTGAATCCGGATAATATGATTCATTATAAGACCCTCAGAAGATGTAATCATTGCATTTGCAAACTCTGGACTTTCAGTCTTTGAATCTCCTTAGTTTTGTTTGAATCTCCTTTGTGATAAGTGCATAAAAGGCACATGCTAAGAAACAATTCCAGGTATTGAGAACCTGCAGTTTCTGTGCAGAACTGAAAACAGGGAAATGAACAAGAGGAAAGATGATCCCTTTTGGCATTTCAAAGCACAACTGGGGCACAGGAGTGAGGAATCTAATTTAGATTTGGCAACTAAGATAAGCTGTCTGGAGTTTGACTCTGATATTCATGCCATTAACACACTCTTCCTATTAGTACCAGGGGGATATGAAGATTTGGCCTATCTTTCACAGAACTTGCATTCTGGGGTGCTTCAGGTTATGGTAGTCCAAGGTGGGAATTTGAATCCATTAGCAAGCATTTCAGGAAAGAAAAAAACCCAACAAACTGTATTAGACAATTCAAATCTAATGATAAGCTAAATTTCCCAAAGGCCTGCAATAGGGAAGCTGTGAAAGTGACAGGAATAGTGAATTACTACTGAAATGAACTGTCATACACAAAAAACAAAGGCAAAAGAAGGCACTTTTAATTTTTTTCAGTGACTGTACTTCTTTGTTTTCATATATATTTGTTTCAGAAATTGTACTTGTATGAGAATAGTGAAATACTAAAACCTTAGAGTTTTGAAATTACCTTTGAAATTTGGTCTGATCCTTGCATCGTAGCCTGACATCCTACCCATTAGCTTATCCAGGAAATCTGATGGCGACATTGGCATGCTACGAGATCTTGCACTGTCTGTTTCCTTTGTGGCTACCAAGCTAACAGCAAGGAAAAACAAACAGACAAACAAACAAAGCATTTGTTAGATATTTTGTTAGGGAAACTTTTACTTTTATGCAGTTAGTCATAGTTCATTTTTTTATGAACAGGAAAACAGGAAAGCTAAGATTGCCTTTCAAGCTAGTTTATGCTTCAAAAATAGTAGTAGTAAAGAAATTGAAACAGTATGCTCTTCTATACCTGTCATTAAATGTGCAAATTTTATTTTGCTAAACTGCATAGTTATAAGTTGCTGTTACATCTTCCTCAGAACTTCTGAATTAATAACACTTTCATTCAACAGTTATCAATCCGTTTTCACAGAGTTAAATAATTTTATATAAACAAATAGCTGTGCAAGTGGAATGTCATACTTTGGACATACTATTCTAAGATTGGTCTGCTTAACTGGAGGTGCTATAATAGAAGCCTGGATCAGAAAAAAAAATAAATTAGTGAGGATCTTGAATAGAACAGTACTGTTGTTACCAATTTTTGTTTTATGTTGATATTTAAACATAATAAACCAGATCAAAGTCTCTTGGCAGATGGTATTCTTTAACATTGTCTTAAGAGTTTCATTTTCAATTAAAACAAAATTGACTGCTACAGTGGAAAAAAACCTCAATGACTTACTGAAGGAACTGGTTTAGGGCAAAATTTTCTTCTCAGGGCCACATGACAAATGTCATCTCCTATAGGCTCTTCTCCATATGCATTCAAAATTCCCCCTGACATTCTAAAGTGTGCTCTGCACATGCTAAGAGAGGAGTATTGACACTGTGATCAGCCATGTGGACCCAAAGAAAAAGTATTGTTGTGGAACTCTTACTTGAGTAGATCCCAACACACTGAAAAAAAAAATACAGTCAGTAAATATATACATAAATAAAATTGTGAAAAACATTGTGATACACAGTGCAACTAAAATGATTTGTGGCTTTTGGAGTCTGAAAAAAGATAGAGTTTTGCCTGTTTGTACAGACGTCTAGGCAAAATTCTGTTACAGAAATATTTGAATCTTTTACTTACCCACTTTATTGTCTCCATGCCAATTCACTCTTTTAGAAATACTTAAATATGCCTTTTTTAGAAGTAAACACAATAAATAATGTAAAATCTTTGGAAATTTTCTGATTCATAAAAAAAAATCTATGCTGAACTTTGCTTTGTGTCAATGAAAGAAGTTTCAAAAGGGAAAAATTCCATAGAGGCATGTGTGTATGCAAGGCACCATGTGGAGTGCAGACTGGGAATGTAACTTTTCTCTTCCTAAGACTGTTACTCGGGACATGACAGGTTATGCTTTTATGGCAACTTCCATTTAGAAGGTCTGCTAAAATATCTGTCTTCAAATTAGAAAATGGATTTAGTATCTTAAATAAAAAACTATTTTGTATTAGGCCTTGAGTGTTATAAATTTGGACACAACCAGAATATGAACATAGAAACCTCTAGAATGCTCTGGTTTACTCATATTTTAGTTAAAACTGACAATTAAGTCTTTTAATTGCAATATTAAAAGAAATAAGAGCATTAAAATTCATCCTTCTGTTGATTTGATTATCTAGTGTTTATTCATTTCTATGTGCAAGTTAATTTGTATGTTTCAAAATTATTCATAAAATTCTAAATTGTTGGATATTTTTTAATTGTTCTGAATACTTTGGTATCTCTTTCAGTAAAAATGTTTCTTTACTCTCCTTCAGTAGCTAACCTAGTTCTTTATTTCTTTCCATAGCTGGAGAATATATTTCCCTTTCTGAGAAAGTAAGTACTTAATGTATTCTTTTTATCCAATATTTAGTTCAATGTGAAATTATTGCATTAGCATTATTATCATTGTCAAACATTGTGAATGGATCTGATTCATAACATTATTGCAACTTGTAGACATTTATGTTTCTGTAAAACATCATACATGGTTGTAAAGCAAACAAATTATGAGAGTCCAATTACGCTTTGCTGGATTTTATCTACCTGCAAGGCAGGAGAATCAATTTACTCTGTGTGCACACAACACATTTCTTTCTAATACTCTTCTGTAAGAAACGTATATTTCTATTCTATAGGGTGTATAAAATTTCTATACTTCCAGATATATTTCTGTTCTTAATATAAATAAATTATCCAGAACACAAATATAGAAAGACCCATTGTTAGCTTCAATATTGATCACTTTCTCTGAATGGAAAAGTTGCTTGTCCTTTCTTCACTTCACTGAACTTTTTCTAAATCTTCTTTAGTTGTGCTTGTAGTTGTTGCTTTGCCATGGTGTGTTATGAGTGAAAGTTGGTTGAGCACTGCAGAATTCTGCCATTTTGATTTCAATTTAATCAAGAATGCTATTTGACAAATAAAATTTTCAAGTATGTGAGCTGATTTGTGGAATACTCTTCGAGAAAATAAGGAGCAAGACTTGGTTGTATAGTAAAACTAGAGGCAGTGGATTTTAGGAAAGGGTTTTCTGTTTACAGATTATGATAAAAGTTTATTCTGCATGGTAAGGGTTTTTCAGGTTTTTTGCATACTGCCTCTGAAAACTAGGCCTCTGGCTAAGGGGCTAGAGAAAGTTACACTCCTTTCATGAACTAAGAATTTAGCTCCTTTTAACGTTCATGCATAAGCTTTGTCCTCAATACACAACCATTGCATAAGCCCAGGAATGGCTTTGCGTGCCTCCAGAGGGAATTTACCCTGACCTGTCACAGTTTTTTAAAGAATTTGTACATGCATTTTCTAACAGGCAGAATTACAAGAATTTAATATCTGCAGACATTTTTTTCTGTGGTGCATTCAAAAGTAAGGTACAATTGACATTAGAATAGCATAAAGTCATTATGCTACTTTAAATAACTGAGTAGAGGCTTCCCATTGCAGAAGTCTTTTATTGGAGAGAGATTATAGCCTCATAGTCTTCTGGTCTGTTCATAATTTATGAGGAAAAGTTACCAAGAAGAATGATCACCCTGGTAGTCATTCTGTGTTCTTTCTGTGAGCTATTGGTAAATATCAGTAACAGTTATAAGGAACTTCAGACTTAGAGCATAACTTGATTTCACTTCCCTAAATGTGTCCTGAACATCTTTACAATGTGAATTAAGCTTTGACAAACAATTAAAAAGAAATTTGTTAACTGAAGTAGTGGACAAGGATCAAGAAAAAAAATGAAAATGCCAAAAGATGTATTCAAAAATTATTTGTGACCAGATGAATTTACACCATCAAAAGTTAGGGTAAGAATTTTTGTTTTAAATAATCTATCACAAAACCCCAGGCATGAACAAAAAATTAGAATCACAAGGGCTATAATTACTATTGTCTTTGGTGTATTCTATTAATCACAGTTCACCTAAAATCTGAGCAGAGACAAGCTTTGCATCAATGCCTTGAAGACTGTCAAGTTGGAATTTCATGGACTGAGATAGGAAAAGATCCTGAATTACAGGTCTGTGACCATGCATTGCCTATCAAAAGTCATATTTGAATTAGAAACAGTTGGGTCAAACTGAAGACATTTACAGTGGGATATAAGTGTTAGAAAGCAAGAAGCAGCCCAGCACAGACAAGATACAACTTCTCCAGATCAGCACCCACATCCTAAATTCCAGGCAAAAAGATACTGGTAAGAATGGTGTTCAACACTGCCATCTATGGTCTGGAAAGAAAATACAAAATCATTGATGTTTTAAACTAAGTCATGCAAAAAGAATTGATGGAGGTATAAATACTGATGATGTCAAGAAAATAACCTATTCCTTAAGTTCAATCCATTTAAGTAGAACAGTTTAAAACAATCAGAGGAAGGATATTGAGATATATGGACTGGGAATGTGGGCACTGTTGGAGAAAGCAGTTGTGTCTGAAGAAGGATTCAGAATTCAAGTCAAACAACTCAGAACTGTTTTGGTAAAGTTCTCACCGTGCTACTGTGTTATCCAGTGGTGTGGAAAGATTGAAGGAGTGAGTAGAAGCATGAAGGTCACTTATTATTTTATATGACATTAATGAGACCGGTTCTGGGATGTTGCATCAAATTCCGTGTCCAAGTTTTAAAAGGACATGAAAGCATTAGGAAAGGTATTGAACAAAGCCACTAAGCCATGACCTAAGAGTTAGGGAAATTTGCTTCAGAGACTTTAAAAGCTCAATATGCTTAGTTTATAAAAAAGAAGATTGAAAGAAGTAGAATGATTGAAGTGTATAAATACCTCAAAGGGGCAGAAAGTTCTGGACATTTATCTAAAGAAAAAAGGCAGAATAAAAATCAATGAGAGACAGACAAATTCAAATGGGAATTTGGGCATACAGTTTAGTAATAAAGACAACAGAAGATCAAATTGTACTAGCCAAGACAATGCGGCTTTCTGGAAGAAATAATTTAGCAAAACATAACAAATTATGTTTCATATATGGCTAGCTTACTGAAAAGGAATGAACCCTGATATATAGAAAAGCAGGTTAAATTCAGAGTGGACATTACAAATCCCATGCAGAAATCTTCAGACTGTCAAAAGACACTTGATGGACTTGAGGAGCTTATAGAAGCTATGGGCTCAGTTCCAAGTGTAAAATGGTGCATTCTCAGAGTCCTTCTACACAGGGATGGAGCTAGGTATTAGGAGGCTTTGACATGTATGACTGTGATTGTAGGTGATAGGACTCAGTTATTTTCTAATCCTCTGCTAAGAATATATTGCATTAATATTGACTCTTTTTATGTTTTAAAAACAATTACTACAACAGAATTCTGAAAAAAATAAGTTAACTCAGCTATGCAGCCAGAGCATCAACATCTACAGAATTTAAATGGGAGATCTCATCGAGCAACTAGCAATTTAGCTACCAAGATAAATCATGGGTCATGACTCAGTGCTCCTGAAAGGTCTATTCAAAGCAGGCATGTTTGTGAGAGAAACCCTCACTCTCTTCCCTTCCTCCAAAAGAAAATGATTGAGAAAAACCCTTCAAAGGTAATTTCACAATCTCCAC